AATTGAGTCATGACGCAATTATTTTTGAGGATTTTGGAAATTGAGTCAACAGCAAAATAATTTACACCACATATATATAGAGAACTATTTGGATTGTTCTGGCGATCAAGGAGCTATATGGATAGACTACATTCCATAGGTCAAAAAGATAGATGATTTGATTGGTAAACTTTCTTATTAAGTATTGCTCAGGAAATATCTCCAAAAGGGGAAAGAAGTTTCATGGAATCTTTCCAGTAGCAGAAAGAAAGGTACAGATGGCTAAAACCATTAGTTGTACAACTATCAGTAAGAGTTTCACATATCCATTAGTAATGAGGATCCGGTTGGGATTGCAGGAGGTCGCTTGTATCACGGGATGTTCTATTCTAAGGATACACTTGCGACAGTTGACTGCATGCCCCTATAAATTGTAACCCCCCCGCATGTGTTGCTAGGTCAGATTAGGCAGGATGAGGCTGGGTCCGATTCCTAGGTATATTTGATGTACTGATGTACCCTTATCCTCCAATGATATCTTACTGACTAAATTCTAGTAAGTCTTGACTAAACTGAATGGTTAAAAAACTGTAGTGGTGGCTGTAGGCAATGATTATCCTGGCATAATAGCAAAGGTCTGCTTGCCTTGAAATAATAACTTTCCACCCCTACCATCTATACTTAGAGGCTTAGGCCTAAGACAAGTATTTAGGACCGTCATCATCACCTCTGTATCCTGGAGAAACACCGGGAGACTAAAAAGGTGATAAAAGGTACCTGAGTTGACGGCAAGGGTTAAAAAAAAAAAATTATTTTAATATAAAGTTTTTAGAAATTTACTAAATTAGTCTTTAAGTAACAAAATATTTATTGAAGTTAAACCAAAAGTTTTTTTTTATAATCAAATTGTTTTAGTTCTGATTAACAAAAGGCCAGAATTTCTATCTTTATACAGTTTAACCATTTTTGACTAAAGTTTAATTGATTGAGTATAACATGTACAGAATAATTAACTTGTATATAAAAGATTTTTCTCTTGTTGATATTGAATTAGCAAATATGTATTTGATAATAAATCTGTATTGTTTTATTATTATAATTTATAAAAACCAAATAATATTAAATTAGATAGTATTAATCATAAGGGCTTGAATTATTATTTGAAAAACCTAAATTTTTTAAACAAATTCATTTAAAGTATAGAGTAATTTAATTTAAATTGTATAAAAAATTTTGATCTTTTAAAATACTTATAAGTTAAATTCATTTTTATTATGGTGTTTACAGTCATTAATGTTAACAATCTTTACAAAACGCAAATTAGCAATTAAATTAATTTGTCTAGAAATAATATCCAGGTTAATTACTTTTCAATTTTTAATTATTAGTTAATAATCTGACTATGTACGTAAGTCAAACCAACTTGTTAGCAAAAAAATATATATATTCGTCTATTTAGTGTTATGGTCTCTTACAAAACTTGGAACACTGTTAAGTGAATCGCAACGTCAGCTCTTTGAATCATTGTTAATATTTTCCGAAGCTTTTTCTAGAGCTTTCTTCCTGCTTAATTCGTTCAGTTTTTGAGTTATCGCCTTTATTTTTTGGCGTTGATTTACGCGTCTAAAATGACAGTACTCCCTATCAAGAAATTGTCAAATATTTATGAGTACATGAAACGATAAGAGAAGAAAGGATGATAAATTCTTATTAATTACCATATTCCTACTGAGATTAAACAGAATGATCCGACAGCCCAATTCGTAGCCGAGAAAACATTACCTACATTATAATCATAAAAATTTCGTTTATTTTGTTCGACTCTCTCGTCTCCAGTATTATCGATGATTTTACGAAACTTGCCTTTTTGTATGAACCTCAGAAAACCAACCGTCGTTCCACCACCAATCCCATACAAGAAACTTTGACGGGCGCATGGCATTTTAGCAATATTTTTGAAATCATCGTAATTTAAATTCTATGGTCATAAAAATACGGAATTCATTTTTACGATGTATATGATTATATAAAAAATATCACGCAAAGGCGGACCTTCACGACTTTTAGGAAATCACCCTCTTTTTCTTCATTATCGTTTGAAGGTGATTGATTCAAACTTTGTGCATCTGAAGGCTTAGTGTTCTCCATTCTTTATGAGATTAAAATACGTAACTGAATTTATCAGATTTACGAATCGTGTTACAAGATTTGATTGGCATACTTTTAACATTATTATAACTATGTATAACGTCTAATCGATACTCTCTCTTCTTTAAAAGGTCAAGATGTCCGAAAACAAATCAACCACATATCGATCTTTCAAGGACAAAGAAAAACCCGTAGAAGTTCGTTTTAACAATATCATCGCTGCTAAAGGTGCAATATTCTCTTTAAAACACTTGGGGGCTGTCATTGATATTTTTTCTAACGCGACTTCATTTTTTATTTTTTCGACAGCGGTTAGCGATGCTATACGGACTTCCCTTGGTCCTAAGGGCATGGATAAAATGGTAGGTGTATATTTATTCCACACTTAATGTAGATTTAGATGTTTTCTGCATGGGAATATAGTCTAAGGAAAAGACATTACTATTTATCAATTGATTCCGGGTGGTGTTGTAATTGGATGTATGCTTCTCTTTTTCCGTCGTGAATTAAGTGAGATTGAAGCATTGAATTCCCGTGAAACATTAAAAACGCGCTTGATGAAAATTACTTACGAAAAAAAACCATTAATCTGTCAATTTGTCTATTTCAGATTCAAACCGGTAATGGAGAAGTTGTGATTACTAACGATGGCGCCACTATTTTGAAACATATGTCAGTTATGCACCCTGCTGCCAAAATGGTAATAATTAATTGGTTAAAAAACGAGAGGGAAATATGGAATTCGATTAACAAATTAAAAATACTAATTACTACTTCGATTCTTAGCTTGTGGACTTATCCGCCGCACAAGATGTAGAAGCTGGGGATGGAACCACGTCTGTTGTTGTGATTGCTGGTGCACTTTTAGGAGCAGCAGAAAAAATGCTTAACAAAGGTATACCATTCTATTAGATTCAATGTTTAGGAAATGACAGATAAAATTATATCTGAAGCATTTTTTGCAATTGGAAAGGAATACATCCTACTACAATAGCTGAGGCATTCCAACGTGCGGCTACAAAATCGTCCGAATTTCTCACGGAGATGTCCACGGAGATCAACTTATCGGACCGAGATTCATTGCTTAGGGCTGCAAGCACTTCTTTGAATTCTAAGGTACGAACAAAATTAATTCAATCAATCGGTAATCCACGATGCGTGACTTGATTACAAAGAAGGAACATTTAATTCTATAATAGATCGTTTCACAATATTCTAGCCTTTTGGCACCCATTGCTGTGGACGCTGTATTACGCGTTATTGATCCAGAAACCGCGACTAATGTAGATCTTAAGGACATTCGTATAGTTAAAAAGGTTGGAGGAACCATTGATGATACCGAGCTAGTTGATGGATTGGTTTTGACACAAAATGTTGTCAAAAGTTCTGATGGTCCCACTCGCATTGAAAGGGCGAAAATCGGGCTAATTCAATTTCAGTTGTCACCACCGAAACCTGATGTGAGAATTCATTCACATTCACGACATAGGTTAAATCCTATATTTAGTGCTCATATACAACTTTATATTATAAATAGATGGAAAATCAAATAGTCGTAAATGACTACAGGCTCATGGATAAGATTTTAAAGGAAGAACGACAGTATCTTTTAAATATGTGCAAGAAGATAAAGAAAGCAGGATGTAATGTTCTTCTGATTCAAAAATCGATTTTGAGAGATGCGGTCAACGACCTTTCACTCCATTTCCTATCCAAGCTTAAAATATTGGTGGTCAAAGACATCGAAAGAGATGAAATAGAGTTTATCTGCAAGGTTAATTGTAAATTCACATGGTTTAGAAAATTTTATTTGGTAAAAAAAATTAACATTCTTTTTTAAAATGTAGAGCACGGGTTGTAAGCCAATTGCCGACATAGAGTCTTTCACCGAAGATAAGCTTGGTCATGCTGATTTGATCGACGAGGTACAAACATCTGGAGCACGTGTTGTCAAGATTACAGGTGTCAAACATAATGGAAAAACCGTATCCATCTTATGTCGTGGTGCAAATTCTCTCGTATTGGAAGAAGCCGAACGTTCATTGCACGATGCACTTTGTGTAGTTCGTTGTCTTGTCAAAAAGAAGTATGCTCACCTATTTAAACCTATTTGATCGGATGTACTATACGCCAAATTAAAATTGATTTTTACCATCAGGGCTCTTATTGCCGGTGGTGGCGCACCAGAAATTGAAGTGTCACAACGTTTGTCCGATTATGCGAAAACCCTCAAAGGAATGGAGGCCCACTGTTTTGAGTCTTTTGCAAGTGCGCTCGAAATCATCCCGGTAACTCTGGCGGAAAATGCGGGATTAAACCCTATTAATATTGTCACCGAACTCAGAAACAGACATGCACTAGGCGAGAAAACGGCGGGAATTAACGTGCGAAAGGTATTATTTATTCACATAAATCATTTACGTTTGATTTTTCTTTTTTTTTCCGAAATTCTTGATTCATTTATCTGATTGCTTAGGGTACTATCACAAATATCCTTGAAGAGAATGTCATACAACCTCTCCTTGTATCAACTAGTGCTATAGAGTTGGCAGCTGAAACTGTGATGATGCTTCTGAAGATAGACGATTTGGTAAATTTTTATGGATATTCGGATATTTGTTTTCGTGAATTCATTTGTGCTGATTAAGTTTTATTTTTTATTTTTTTTTATTTTTTACACCAAAGGTTTCGATTCGATAAAGTTTTATTCTCATGCTTCATTTATAGACAAGCAAGCATTATTAGATACCATGTGGATGTTTTTATTATTAAAATTTTCTTTATTAATTCAACTTTGAGGTTGTGTGGGCATTTATTTTAAGTTAGAGACATCTTTTCTTGTCACAAATGTGCATTTTACAAAGTAGTCAAATTTTTTTTTAAAAAAAAGAGGAAATCTTAAGTTTCCCCCTTTTCCAAGTCTATGGCCAGCGAATCAACTTTTTTGAATTGCCAACTCCAAGCAGTGTTGTACAGAAACGGTCTTAAATCAAACCTATTATCATCAGGACTATATGTCTCGGCATGATATGATGGTGTGAGGGTTGTCATCTTGTGACGATTTACGGAATAATAAAAGAAGAATCTCTTGACCTTTGATGCAATCTTTTAAAACGTGTGAAAAGATATATGATTAACTACGAATGTTGTCAATTAGAGTAAAGGTCGATTCTTTTTACCTCTGAAGGTCTTAACGCGGGTCCCCATTCATACACAAGTTTCGAAAACATTGAAAACGGACCACACCGTTCGATTTTACGCAGTCTTCCAAAAACTGAGAGTTCATCGTATGTCATACCCATGTCAACCTGTAATCGCACGGGTCGTAAATTCTTAAAATAATAAAAATGCGTATTTAACCTGAATATCAGAGATTTGAATCAGACCTCGTCGGCTTGAACATAATCGCTTGTGATCGGTTCGAGTTCTGCTGTTGGTACTGAGTTTAAGAATCTTTTGCCCGTTAAACGATGATGATCAGAAAAAACTTAAGAACTTCCAACAAGCAATAAAAAAAAACGATAATACTTACTCATCCAAAATAGGAATATCAAATTCGCTTTTAGCATAGGCAATGAATTTGCGCAAGTCAGTTTTACTTATGGCGCCAATTGGGTTTAGATCTGCACTCGAACAATCGTATTTAGTTAAATAACCTCGAAGACTTGAATAAATAAACTCGTTAAGTACAAATAAAGTAACACATAAAATCCCTGCTTTACATCAATTCTTAGTTACTCACCATTCATCAACATTCGAACTTCCAAGAACTAGCAAAGCACCGCTTCTATTTCTAGCCCAGGGCAAAAGTTGCGCAAATAGATAAGCTAGAACCATTCTTAATCGTGCCTAGTGATTACTTTAATTGAATTTGACGAAATGGTTCGGTATTATATATGTAGTATTGTTTCGACGAAACTCTAACCTGTATATTCTGTAATGCAAGATTCTCAACTTCAGTCCCACCATTAACACGAAATTTTGGTATCTTCTTGGTGACCAAGTTAAATAATGCATGCACCGAAGTTACAACATCATCCATATTTAAGTCTATGTGATAACTATTTGTGCATAACGTGTGGTATTATAATTTAGAAAATGTAAACATAAATGTAACTATTCATGCTAACCTGCCTATGGAATTGGCCAAGTTTTTCGCGCGTTCGCGTGTTTCTTTGCTCGAATTCTCGGTTCCCATGTAACATGTGTGAAAAACGCGACTAAAGTGATAGATGAACCATTTCTTGAATAGTTCAAATCTCTAATGTGGTATGACACAAAGTAATTAATGATTCTTTCGTACTTTGCAAATTCTTTTGGATCTGTCGGAATGTAATCAGAGTCCTTTTCCTCCCCAGCAATCCTCCTAGCGTCCTCAATAACCTGAGCATCTAATATTATAAAATGCCTTATAAGCCTAATTAATTGTCTGAAACCAAATATGTGATTTAACAATTACTTTGTTTGGCCACAGCGTCAACAACTAGACGGCACATGGAATACACGATAGTTGCTGTTGCACAACTATCTATTCCACCACTAAGGGGAAGAAAATATCCACTAGTCTTGGATCGACGAAGATAATCCCATAACCAACATGCCGGTCCAAGTCTAAAATGTTTATAATTTATAATGAGTAAAGTGATTAAAATAAAATGATATAAGAAAAATAATTATTCTTACGCAATTTCTTGTTCCGGTGTGTGATAATATTCTGAAACGGGCTTGGTAGGGCGAAAACGTTTAGGGTCCATTTCTTGAGACAATTCTATATGTGCCTCAATACGACGATACGAAGGAGTAATAACAGCTTGCATGCCCCTGCTACTTTGTACACGATGCGAACGCACATCTTCTATATCAACCACTGCTGTAATCACTTCCTTGAAATTTTAAATGGAAAAAATAAGCTTCGCCACTTGGAAAGTTTTGATATGTAACCAAATAAATACTGACCACATCCCTTAAAGAAAATTGCGAGCCCTGAACAATTATTTGACCATTAACGGCTATTAGCGCGCAACCATCATAATATAGGCGATCACCATCGCAACCTTGTTGGTTCGCATAAAGATAAACCCCTCCATTCTATTAACATTATTTGAACATTAATTTAATGTGATCTTTTATCTTTTTTTTGACCTGAATATCGCGAATTACCTTTAAGGTCGCTTCCTTGATCAAGTCAATGCGTCTGTGGAGCTTTCGTAATTCGTGATGACTTCCGCTACTATTCGTGAAGATTTCTACACCATCCAATCCCATGCTAATGTGAGGACTGACATAAATTGTTTTTAAAAAGGAGTGAGAATTAGAAAAAATTCAACGTGAAAAAGATCGAATACCTGTTTGGAGTAAACAATTCTTCGCATAACTCCACGCCAACACACGTGTCAAATGTAGAAACTACCGCGTCGCCGATAGGGACTGTGGCCTTATTAAAATTGACATGAATAAGAATGCTTTCTATCCTAAATTCCTAAAATTCGGGACGAGTGCACCTACTTGGCCTGTGATATCACTAATTATTCTTGGAAGACGATACTCTTCAACATATTGACTTGGTGACCATGGGACAAAGTATCTCAATTCACGATAATTACCATCGTTGGCTAAAAACATTTTCGGACGAATTAGCAAAATTTTCCCATTAAGTACTATAATTCGACAATTGTATCTAACACTTTTATGGGCCACGGGCCTATTATAGCAATGGTTATTGAAAAAGGATAAATAAATTGTTTGATTTCACGGAACTTAAGATTCAAATACAAATCGATGGAAGAATGCTTGCATTCCGATATCGAGCAGAATATTATGGGTCTCCTCAGACTGCAATATTTTTCCAAGCATTTCCCAGGAATGTAGATAAGTATCTCCTAAAAGGTTTCATTCCAGAATAAGTTATCCAATTGAATTTTTGGCAAATAAAAAATAAAAAACAAAAGAACCTTCAAGAAAATGATCGAAGCATCCGTATCCTCTGTCAAAACAAGAGACAAAGTTATGCAACTGAAAAAAAAAAATGAAAAAAATTCTAATATTGACAATACGTTATTTCAAGTTCCGGACCAACACGTAATGTTGCGCCTTTTTGCTTTGCAACACGAATACTTTCTAAAATACGTTCGAGATTTCCCTCGAAATCTAGTGCCCACTGATTTAGGGAACAAGTTGCCACAATAATTTTAGGTCCCATTTTTAAGAAATGTCGATTTGAAAAAGATCCTATATTACTTGGAGTAGCTTTTTTACTTGTTATAACTATATATATATAATCTACCTATATTTTTTTTATGTGCAAGATTTTAATCAACTTGTATTTAATGTTAATTACAATTTTGAAAAGTAAAAAATAGAAAAATATTATTTGTAAATAAACATTATTTCTTTATTTGATTTATCATGTATATTAAAGAAAACAATATTTCTTATATATTATACAATATAAAAAGAAACAAACTTTTTTTTATTTATTAAAATTTATAATAAACAGTAAAAAGCAAAAAAAAAAAAACTTTTTCCTATTTAATTCAAATTTATTTAAATCTGCAGTAAACAATTAAGAGTTAGTTCCAACTATTTATTATATCAAATACTTAAAATATAATAAATATAAAAGCAAAAACAACAGTTAATACTAGTTAAACTTAACTTTAACAAAATACTTATGTAATTGAATAACTATTATAAAAAAATATATAAATATTATTTTTAACTAAATAAAAAAGTTTAAATATATACAAAAAAATCCTAATAAATATTATATAAATTATATAAATTAATTTGTTGTTAATTCAATTATTGACTTTTTTTATAATGACTTAATTAATTACAATATAACATAATTAATTATAATTAGAGTTTTTAATAATATTATTTTAATATCAAATCAATATTAAATTTACTATAAGTTTAATATAATAGATTATATTTATATATTAAATTTATTATAAGTAAATATTATTTCAATACTATTTTAATATTAGTTTAGAATTCTAATTATAATATAATATAATTATTTAATTTTAACACAATTATATAATCTGTTACAATTTTTTTTTTCAAAAACTTTTTCTACTAATTCCTTTGCTAACACAAAAAACGGACATTCCAAGAAAATTTTTATATTTCTTTATAATAAAATCTATACACTTTCATTAACAACACTCATATTAAGAGACTATAGTCTCTTCCATTTGTTTCTTTCTTTTTTTGATATAAATTTCTTGTATTTCTGCAAGTAAATATAAAAAATATCTACTTATAAAGTTAAAAGCAAAAAAACTTTATTAGGAAAAAAAACCTGTAGAAAAACATACTTATCTTTTCCTTCAAAGATTCAAGACTCTAGAAAAGACTGACACAGTTTTTAGAACTCTTCTCTCATCTTCTTCAAGCTTCTTTCTATCTTTTCAAGCATGCAAACTTTTTTCTTATTTTTTAAAAGAATTTTGCCTATCTCAGTTTGACTCTGAATTTTTGATTACACCAGAATCCTTGAATGATAATTGGCTCGAATTTAGGACTGGTTGATCTACATGTAACAAGAAATATAAACAAGACACGTAACTTCTACGTGCCCTATTTCATACAACACAAAATTCAATGATGCAATAGAATATAGTAAAAAGAGTAAGGTAACGAGATGCTCTTTTTGTTAAGAAATGTTATAGTTTTCTTCAAGATCAAAAGAAGTCTCATCCTAATCCAGTAACAAGCTTTTTCTATTGTTGATTATCCTGAAAATGGTTAAAGAAAAAGGTTTTGAAATTATTCACTAGTTGAAAAAAACCATAAATTCTTGGAAATTAGGCTGAAAGAAAAATCACCAATTGAAATATCAACCCTCTCTAAAGATTAGAAGTTTTTGAGTATAAAATTTCAAGAATTACTCTTTTGGAAGTATTCTTAAATATTCTTGATTAACAATGAAATAGCAGAAATTAAATAGTTTGTTTAGCTGCAAGTGGTGATAAAAGATTTATTTCCAATGGATTGAGGTTGATATTGAAGAATTTTTATTTATCAAAACAAACTTTTCCACTACTTTTTCAATTTCCTTTTAATTTCTTAAAAAATAAAAAAATTTTTTTTACCTTTTAGAACCACAGGTTTGTATTGGGGTGACAGTCTGAATGTAGGCTGGCTATGATTTTTCTTAAGGCCAAGAAGTAATTTTATCATTTCCTATAATTACACTTAGAGAGTTATATAATTTATTAACAGGTGTTCTGTATTAGACACAGTTTAGCTCTAATATATAGCCTTAAGATTCAATGTATTATTGTAATATATCTTTAAAAATTAATAAACACAGTAAATGCAGTCTAATTAGAGGAAAAAAAATAATAATAATTTGTTATAATTTTTTAATTAATTAATAAATTTATTTTATAAAATTTTCTTATAATTAATATTCAATATTCAATAATTCAATTTAAACAAAAAATATATTATTTAAAAATTTTTTATAAAAAAAATTAAATAACAAAATTTTTATTTAAATAAAATTTATACAGACCTGTGGGTCCATAGTGCAGTGGTTAGCACTCCACAGGTCAGATTACAAGATACCGGTTCAATCCCAGGTGAAGGCGATTGAACAGTTTCATATGGTATCTGGCACCGTAACTTGTTATATGCTGTTTCACATGCTGATCCAGCAGATGTTGAGATTGTGTTCTCCAGAAAAGGTGTCGTATAGCGTTGATCGTCTGGTTGGTATTATAATAATCGACATTGTGCTTGATGCATTTCCCAGTTTTACATTGATCGCTTCCTCTCCTATAGTCCATGAGACTATAAAAGAAAAACCTGTTAACTCCATTAGGCAACTAACAATCACTTTTAGGTTGAAATCTTATAGGGTATACTTAAAGATTCATGGCCACTTTACAGGAGTTGTGCCCTGCTTGATATTTGTACCCCTAGATTTGGCAGCCTAAGCTAACTAAGAAACCTATCGGAGTGTTTACTGGAAAAGTAAGAAGTAATCCTTAAAAAGTCATGCCCACTTGACCAACAACCGAGCCCCCAGATTTGGTAATATGTGCCAACTATAGGAAAACTCTTGGAGCATTTACTAGAAAGTATAAAGAAGTAAGTTTCATGATATCAAGTATATGTGTTGTTAGGTTGAGTGATAAGGGACCCTAGTGATAGCTAACAGGTAAAAAATACAAAACAAAAAGCCCTCTGAAGTTCATGCTCAGGTATAAACCCACTTTCATAGTATAAGTTAGTATCTGAATTAGAATAAGGGTGGTATGTCAGTTAAACATAGACTGTTCATGTAATAGTTAATTGTAATGTATAAAATTTACAATAAAAATCCTCGCGTGTATCACACCTTAGCCCTTAAAAAAAAAAAAAAATTTAAATAGAATTTATTATTTATAAAAAATTTTTTTTTATATATAACTTTTTTAAAAAAATTTCAGTTTATAATAATTTTTTTTCAAAATTAAAAAAACAAATATATATATATATATTTTAATATCTAAAAATCCTTTATACTTATTTTTTTTTTATTATAAAAACCTCAAGAAAATTAAAGAAATATATTGATATATTGAAATAAAACCTTTAATCAAAGAAAAATAAGATTGAAATTTTACTTTTTCTTTGAATTATATAAAAAAAAACTTGTAACAATTATTTTTTTATAAATTTTTTTTGAAATTCTTTCTATTTTTTTTCTTTTAATATATAAATCTTTTTAAATAATTACAGAGGATATTCATATTATTGTGGACACTTTTTATTATACAATAAAATAAGTTAATAAGCAAAAAAATTTTTTATTATACTAAATAAATATTTTTATAATATGTTAAAGTATATTATATTAAAATTTCATGTAATTGTAATAATTCATTTGGAATTTATAATCAAAAAACCTTTGTGCTACAAATTAAAATCAAACAGAAATTACAAATCAAACGAAAATCTTTTTTAAAAAAAAACTTAAAGTTAAAAAATATATATATTTATATATATATTTTTTTAAAAAAAAAAAAATTCAAGCTAATATCAAGTCTTAGTATTTTGTAGGGCCTTCATCAGCAGCAATGCAAGCTGCAATATGATCCAGCATACTATTTACTAATTGGCAGCAAATTTCTGATAAAATGTCTTGCCAGACTTGTTTAATGAGAATTTCAAGAACAGTAAGATTACTAGGCTTTGGTTTGCGATACATAGACGTCTTGACCTTATGCCAGAGGTTCTCGATAGGGTTCAAATCAGGGCTCTGGACAGGTCAGTCTAATACCTTGATCTTGTGATCTTCAAAAAATATAATGGCGATTTTTGAAACGTGAGATCTCATGTTGTCTTGCTGAAATAAAAAATAACTACGATTCACATTTCCCAGATATTTTTTTAAGGTGGATATTACATATTTGCACAAAATTCCAACATACGAAGCCCCGGTAACATTATTAATTAACAGAATTAGAGGGCCAGTTCCGTGTCAAGAGAAGCAGTCTCAGAATATATGGCTAGGGCTTTATTTAATAGTACAGCTTAAGTATTCGGCATCCCATTCCTCATGTGGTTCATGCCAAATTCGGAAAAGAACTTACTAGAAAAGCTGAATAGATGTTTTGTCTGACCAAAGAATACGTCTGAAGTGTTGGGTGATCCAGTTCCTACGAGCAAGACACCAGATAAGCCTGTTCAATGCATTAATGATAAAGATTAGTGGTTTTGGGCATGCAATACAAGACCTTAAATTTTCTTTTTTTAGGATACGATGGATAGTGTTTTTTGATACATGGAGTTTTGTTTGAGCAGTAAAAGTAGTGGCAACTTGGGCAGCGTTAAACGACGGTTTTCATTAGTCACAAGAGTTTTAAGGACAGAATGGTCAGAAGCGGTAAAAAGTAGTGGATGTTCAGGACGTTTTCTTTGCGGTTCAATGGTTCCTGCCTTATGATATTTACATATAATATTTCCCACAGAAGACTTCTTACAGCTAACATTAGCAGCGATGGCACAATATGAGTCACCTCTCAGGTAACTATAGATAATGGCTCCTTTTTATACAATGGTCAAATCTTTTTCACTACCCATTAAATTTAATTCTTGTTTTTTTAGTAAAAACGTGATTTTTTTTATATATAAAAATTCAAAAAAATTATAATACAAATTAACATGTTTTCGTTTATATTTTTATTAAAAAAAAATAAAAAA